TGGAGGGTGGCGGTTTGAAAACCGGGTAAATAGGGAGAAATGAAAAGAGAGTCAACTTCCCTACCTCCGGGTCATCCGAGATGATTACCTTTATTTCGCTCCCCGATTTTATTTTTATTTCGCAGAGGAGAGGAGCCCGGACTCGCGCTTTAAACTCATTAGCGCGCTCGGCCAGAACCGCGCAACTCCCTCGGGTTTTCTTTTACAGTTACGCGTTTTTACCCAGCAACGTACCTGTAATACCGTAGCGAGTAGGAACGCCGTATAAGCCGTCAGGCGTTGCCGAATTCTCTCCGACAAATCACGAATTTTCGGGGAAATTTCTGTGTATCTCTCCTCCGATTTTTCAGAGAATTTCGTTCGTAATTCGATCTAAAAATTCAAAAAATTTCAAGGGAAAATATTCATAACTCTCTTCAAAAATAAATCTTTTCTGAGAGGAAATTTGGCAACATTTGAATGGTTATACGACATTTTTACTTAGCACAGCAGTGTGGCGCCCCTCTCCTCTCCTCCCTGGAACTGTTAGTGTCACCTTTTACCACGCTATCCCGTGTCAGCCCGGAATGAGTAGTTGGGCGCGACAAAGTTTTGATGAAATTCGTTGGATCCTCTGTCTCGTTTTCGCTTTTGAACTTGCTGACTCCTTTTTTTTAAATCATCAATCAGGAGTTTTTAATTCATGCCCGCTATTTTCTCTCCTCGTCTGTGTACTGTCTTCCCGAAGATGGGTTTTTTAGAGAAGGGGTCTCTGAAAGGACAAAATATGATAATTATTTTTAACTCAACCCTCATGCATCTACCAGTATTTTTAAGTTAAAAGTTATAAGTAGTTTTGACTTTGTTGTATATTTATTTCCATTGAGCCATTAATTTCCGAAGATTTACATTGATGAATTCAAGCTAGCTGCTTAATGGATGGATCAAATGTACACATTAGAACATTAAAACGTCAAATGGGAGTTTTTTGTAACATTTATCGTCTAGTTCCAAGCTTCACATTTACAATATTTTTTCTTTTCTTTTTTTAAATCAATTTAAATGAGAATAATCCACGCAGAGTGAGCAAACATTTCAAATTCATGACTTGAAAAACGCTAACTTTGAGAGATTAAATATTAGAGCCTAACGCAAAGCGGAGCGGGGTGCTGCCAGAGCGAAGCGTCCACTGGCGCCTACAAACCTAACAGAGATACTTCACGCATTGAGCAGTGCGAGGAGTATCCTGTTAGGTTTGTAGGCGCCAATGCGCGCCGTGATCTAACCGGCCGCCCGTCGCCCTGCAGCGTGCCACGGCGCATCAAGCAACTATTTCACAACAGAGTCCACGCATACTAGTCCTTGCACACTAAGTCCTAGCATCTGTATTGAATAACGGGTAGCATACTTTTAGCGGCTCTGGTGCTTGCACTAGAGCTGCTATTCCGGACGGTCCCAGCTGGGGAGTATCAACGGACCATGTTACATTGGAGAGACCGCGTGTTGGTTGATGGGAATCGGCGCCATTTTCTGCTGTTTGGGGGACTGATTTTATTTTAATTGATATCTTTTTCCTGTGAGCGAATGCTATGTTGTGTAGTGTATTTTTGGAATCATGGTGATACTGTCAATAATTCAAAACGGGTCTGTGCTTTAATCTCGCTCTGGAAAAAATGTACTTTACGTTTAAAATTTGAAAATTCAAATCTATAAGTTTTCGCGCTTTTTTCAAAGAATGCCGTGGTTGGAGCTTCCTAGTCATACTACTCGACATCAGCTGATAGCAAACAAAGGTTACCAAGGAAACCGTAAACGCGTAACAACTACTTACCGTCGCCAGAGCCGCTTTCCGACGCGAATGCGTTGGAGCTTCCTGCTTGTTTGCATTTCCCTAGAGAAAAAAGTGACTCGATTTAGGCAGAAACATTCTTGATTATGAGGTCAAACAATTTTTATTTTGAATCAAGAATAATATAGATGCATGGAAGCGGGTTTTTGCTTGATGTGCGCCGTGACTTTCCTTTTTATATAAGCATCTTTTCTTCCTTAAAGAAGCATTATTTTCTTTATTGATTCATAAGGAAATCTTCTTGGCGGTAAATTTGAGTATATTTTTGCTTAAATCAAGTCACTTTTTCCTCTAATAAAGTTTAAAAATCATACTAAACGTTATTGAATACAGATACCAGAACTACGTAAGTTTTTCGACTACCACTCTTTTTTTGTCGATGTTACTCGATTTAATTTGCGAGGGAACTTTGTGCTTTAAAAAGATGTCATCAATCATGATACGTTCAGGTGCTTTCAATCTCGTATGATAACACCTCTGTGGCGAAATAGTAGCTCGAAACGCCGCGGAGCGCCGGCGCCGTCGCGAAGTTATCGTACACAAGAAAAATCTAAGAGCCTTTGGCTGAGGCAAATCAAAAGATTTATCCGGTTCTGGTATTACAAGATAGGATTTACTTGAAAGCTATCTTTCAAGCCCATCTTTCTTTTAAGCCCTGTTGCACCAAAGAGGTGTAGAGAGTTTTGGTGAATTTCCCCTCATGGAATTGACGCTCCCCCAATTGAGACCCAAAGTAAATGGGTCCACATGTAATGACAAACGACAATTGCTCACGACGTTTTTGGATGAAAATGTATAATGTCTTGGAAGAATGAGGGTTTGCTTGTTTTTCTTTGTTTGTTTGATCCAACGGAGAAAAATATGTAATTTATATTTTTGGTTAAAATGGGGGAGCGTCAATCCCATGTGGAGAAATTCACTAAAACTCTTTACGCCTCTTTGGTGCAACAGGACTTAGTTATCTTCCAGGGAAATCCCATCTTGTTATATAAGAACCGGATAAATGTTTTGATTTGCCTCAGCCAAAGGCTTTTAGATTTTTCCTGCGTTCCCTCGCAAATTAAATCGAGTGTCGACGACAAAGAATGAGCGGTAGTCGAAAAACTTACCATGTCCTAGTATCTAAACTAGTCCTTAGTATCTGTATTCAATAACGTTTAGCATAATTTTTTAACTTCATTTGAAGAAAAATTAACTTGATTTTAGCAGAAATATACTCAATTTACCGCCGAGAAGATTTCCTCATGAATCAATAAAGAAAATAATGCTTGCTTAAAGAAGGAAATATGCTTACGTAAAAAGAAAAGTCATTTTCATCAAGCGAGAACCAGCTTTCATTCCGCTATTTTATAATTGATTCAAAATAATCTTCTTGACGGCATAATCAAGAATGTTTTTGCCTCAATCAAGTCACTTTTTTCTCTAGGGAAATTAAAAAATTAGGCTAAACTTTATGAAATACGGATGCTAGGACTTAGTGAGTTTTTGGACTACCGCTCTCTTTCTGTGCCGTGGTATCCTGATTTAACTGTGAGGGGAGCCCCGCACTCTAAAAGGATGCCTATCATCCTTAATATGTCGGAACGCCTTCAATTTCGTATGATACTGTGCAACACATCTGTTGTGAAATAGTTGCTTGATGCGCCGTGGCACGCCGCGCCTTGGCCGGTTGGTCAGCGCCTACAAAGTTACAAACCTAACATGGATACTTCACGCACTGCGCAATGCGTGAAGTATCCCTGTTAGGTTTGTAGGCGCCAATGCACGCTTCGTGCTGGCAGCACGCCGCTCCGCTCTTTGTTAGGCTCTAGTATTTAATCTCGCGGAGTCAGCGTTTTTCAACTCATCATTTTGAAATGTTTGCACACTCGGCATAGATAATTCTCATTTAAATTAATAAAAAAAATGTGTGGAAGGAAAATATAATGTGTATTTGTAAATATTAATGTGGTTCCGGGTCAAATTTAATGATTTCTACAGCACTTTAATTTTTTCTTTTATATTTTGTGCTTTTTTGTATCGTATGAACATCCGAGAGTTGCCAAATTTCCTCGCGGACTAAGAATCATTTTTTGAAGAAAGTTTCGAGTATTTTTCCTTGAAATTTTCGGATACTCTGGATTAAATTAGGAACAAATTTCTCCGAGAAACTGTACGAAAGATATTTGTAATATTTCCCGAAAATTCGTGATTAGTCAAAGAAAATTTGGCAACGTCTGAAAAACGCATATGGCGATTTTCCTCAGCACGGCAGCATATAGCTGCGTAGCGGCCGGGGGCAACCCCCTAGTTTACAAATATTTTACATGATTCTCGCGACTATCCGAACATGTAGACACCATTATGAGCGTATTAACTTGTAAATGATCTTTTAATGGAGAATTTGCCCACAAAAATTGTATTGCTTCATCTGAGAGTGCCTAATGAGCTGAGTTCAAAGTATTTTTCATACTTTTTTCCCGACATGGAAAATCGGAGAAATATAGATTTAAAAGTGAAAAAACGTGCCGCCTTATGACGTCATCATGTTTCGTTTAAAAACACGTGTATTTTAGCAGATTAGGTTATTTTGTCGTATTTCCTCCAATAATTGTCCAATTTTGAAACGAAGGATATCCTCGTGCTCAGTTTTCCTAGCAGTATCGTTTTAAGGTGATTCGATGGATGCCATATTTTGTGTCAGAACGGCATGCGATATATCGCATCAATTGGTTCCATTTTTTCGGCTACTCGTCATTTTTCTCCAATTTTGAGATCGCAATTCTGCTCTCCGGAGACTAAAGCACTCACTTACCAATTTCAACAGAAAAATTCAACGTAATAAAGGCGTGATTTTTTTAGAGAGAAAACATCGCATTCGATACTGATATCGAAACTGCACTCGAATGCGATATTTTCTCTCTAAAAAAATCATGCCTTTATTATGTTGAATTTCTTTGTAAAAATTGGTAAGTGAGTGCTTAAGTCTCCTGACAACAGAATTGCGATCCCAAAATTGGAGAAAAATGACGAGAAGCTGAAAAAATGGAACCAATTGATGCGATATATCGCATGCCGTTCTGACACAAAATACGGCGTTCATCGAATCACCTTAAAGTAGAAATTCACAAAATTTCAGACACCTGCAAATTCTCTATTCCTGTAAATCATAGAAGAATGAATATTGTTTCAGGTGAATTGCGAGAAGCAGCCGATCCTGCTGGAGGCGAAGCGGGACAAGCATCTGTTCATCAAGATGACGGGGATGGTTCTGCCGGGGAGCGATCAGGTGGAGCCGGTCAACAGGAGCCTGGCCGAGTGCGACACGAAAAACCGCATCGTCATCCACAGCGGCCCGCAGCTCCACACCCTCGTCTGCCCCGACCCGCCCTCCCACGAGACAGTCGAGGTTATTACTTTTCACGCTTCCCCATTTTTCTCCGCTTTTCGTCATGAATTTGAAATTTCACGTTTCTGCCGCGTTCGGATCAACGTTCGATACTGGAGGTTTTAACGGAAAGGCGTAGGCCCTTTATTCGGACCTTATTCCTGCATAGGGAGGAATAATTATTTTTGGGGTGGAAAACTGAAAGAAACTGAAAATATATGTTTTATTGAATAAAGAAAAAAAATAACAGATGCAGCGAGGAGATTAGTGAACATCACAATAGACATCGAGCGATTTTGAAAAAGAAATGAAAATAGGATAATAAATGGACCGAGCTCATGAGAAAGGAACCAACCCACATTAAGTTGAAACTGAGAAAAAGAGGTTTGAAGTTTTTTTCCTGCAAAAGGAAGAAGAATTATTTTGGGGGTGGAAAACTGAGAGATGTTGACAATTCAGTATCTGTTTTTTTTTCCTTTTTTATGTCTGTTTTATTAAATAAAGAAGAAAAAATAACGGATGGAGCGAGGTGATTAGTAGAAATTACAATAGACATCGAGAGATTTTGAGAGAGAAATGAAATGAGGATGTTAATCGGACCGAGCTCAATAGAAAGGAACCAACCCACATTAAGTAGAAACTGAGAAAAAGAGGTTTGAAGTTTTATTCTCGTATAGCGCTAGGTGTAGAAAATGAACTTCAACCCCTCTTTTCGTAAACTGATTCCTTTATTTCGACTCTCAGATTTTGCCAGAAGAAAATAAACGACTAATGAAACTCAAAAACATTCTTGACTCAATTTTTTCAAAAATGTAGGTTGGTTCCATTTTGATAATCTCGGTCCATTTAGTGGTGACTCAAGATTATTTTAAAAACGGACTAGAAAGCTCAGCATGGAAATGAACCGCGTTAAACAGAAAGGAACCAAGCCATATCAGTTACTGCCAAATTTAATTCGGCAATTCAATTTTATACATGAAAACGGTTTTGCGGATTTTTGTGCAAATTTCAGTGAATTTTCTCCATAGTACGAAGCAAATTCCTTGACATTTTCAAAGGAATCCACACAAACGTTCTCTCGTAAAATATTAAATTTGGCAATAGCTGACATGGCTTGGTTCTGTTCTGCTAAACGCAGTCCAAATAAACGTGCCAATAATGCTAGATATGACCGAAAATAACCAGACATTGTCGGAAATAGTCAAAAATAGGTGTCTTGATTGCGTAAGGCATTGGCGGATCTAGCAATTGGCAACGTTGTATTTCTCCAATTAAACAAATGAAAATGTATAGATTTTTAAAGGGGCCAGGTGCTCCGACAAGAATCGATTATTTAACATAGGTTTAAATGGAGGATATCCGGTGTTGCCAAATTTCTCGATCCGCCTCTTGCGTAAGGTAACCACTAACCAATTACGGGGATGGGGGATAAAGGATAGGGAATAGGGATGGGGATGGGGAAAAGGGAATGGGGGATAGGAGATGGGGGACAGGGGTTGGTGGATAGGAAATGCGGGGGGTGGCGAAGGGACTAACAGGGAAATGAGAAATAGAGTTAGAGAATGAGTGGGAGATAGTGGGCAGAGAAGTAAGTTAACATTTCCTCATGATTTCTCTCGACAAGTAACGTGGGTGTTGCAATTACTTATGATTATTTAATTACTTAAAAAAACTTATAACGTTAGTAAACTTATTGCCACAGTATCAGAGTGTTGTATATCGACGGTGAAACTACCAAACCACGTATCTCGGTTTGCGACGTCGCAGACTTCCTGTCATACTTTATTTTTTAAATAGAAAACCACTTAATGTCAATTCGTGAAAACTTCCGTGATTTTTCCTCTTTGTGCGGAGAAAAATCTGTGAAAATTGTAAGGAATGATATTGATTTGATCTCCTTCAAAAAAATAAAATTTGAGTGGAGATTTTTAAACACCGCAAACGAGATACGTAGTCTGGTAGTTTCACCGTCGATATGTTGTCTATCTACAATTTGAAGGGGTGTATCTTACTTATTTTTTTATAATTATTAAATAAAAATAATTCAATGAATTGCAATTGTTTTAAAAAGAATGAGACATAGAGTTGTAATGAACAAGAAAGGTAAAACACTAAAAATCCCGTAACAATTATTTTTAATGAACTTCAGTGCGAAGCTAATGAGAGACTGAAGGAGCGGCGAGTGCTCAGCTTTAGAAGTTGCGTTTAAAATATTTTTTTTTTTTTGTTTTTTTATTTTTCCTCGGAATTTCTTGACACTCAGGTCATTTTCTTAGTGTTTGTATCGTTGCATTTGTTCTCTGCACCGTGAATCCACTACCCTTTGTCTCATCGTCTAAATTCAGCAGTTGGTGACCAAGTGATGTTAACAAATTGCAATTTAATAATAAAAAATGTTAGTTCATTTCCAAGACATCGCAACTCTGTTTTTTCAAATGTGCAGGGCTTAAGTAGGAAATTCGTATTATAAGTGCTAAAACGTCGGGATGAATTCTTCCAAGATGAACGCCAGTTCGTCACTATAGATCAACACTTTTGGTGACAGTCAACCGAAATTCGGTTAAAGAATTACAAAAAATGCTGATCACAGGCGAGTGTCGATTTCCAATGCATATCGGTGCCCAAAGTGCGAGACCACAAAGCTCCGTTTGCGACGTCGCAGACCTCCTGACATCCTTTATTTTTTCTTCAGAAAAGTAGTCAAAGTGATTTTTCAAAAACTTCCTTGATTTTTCTACTCTGCCAGCAGGATATTCTGTATACATCTCAAGCTATTAAATTGGCTTGTTTCTTTTCCAAAAATTGAAAAAGGAGCGGAGATTTCGAAACAACGCAATGGAGATACGTGGTGTTGCACTTGACCCGTCAATACCTTCATCGCAAAGTTCGACTCTCGACAACTGATGGCTGATTTTTGAAATTGACAGACAAAGCGATAGACAAAGGAGACATAAGGAGTATGGAGCGATCCTATTGGTTGAAATGTGTGGTTTTTACAGATCAAGAGAGTACATGATGAACCAACTGAAGGGTCTCTCGTGAGTTGCCGTTAGTTAGTCTTTTAGCAACCTCCTTTGTCCATTTCAACCATCAGCTTCCACCAATAGAATGCCTCTATATCCCTCTTGTCTTCTTTGTCAATCGCTTTGTCTACCAATTTCAACAATCAGCCCGCTGACTTTTTTACATTTACGCGTCTCTCCCGAATGAAACGAAACAAAGGCAAAATTCGAGACCAAAAATACACCTCTACCTCCAAGGCTCCTCCGGCGCGAGCTTTGAACCCCCCGATAATTCCAAACAAATGAGATTAAAATTCACCGAAGTAGGTAATTCCAGTTCAGTCGGATCAAAGCCTGCCAGATGATTACACGACGAGTCACGCGTGAGGGCAACGAAAGGGCGAGACGGGGTCGCACCACCGGAAGGGGGGTGTAAGGGGAGGCAGAGGGGGTGTAAAGGGGGAAGAGGGGGTGATAAAATTCACTCGACACCGATAAACGTGGTCTGCAATTGCAATTACCTGTCGAGTGGTCATGGGAGGGTAAATAAATCGAGGCGGTAGTTTAAGCTGCTCGTGGTTAATCCAGGTCACACTTCGTCCCGTGAACGTGAACTCGATTGTTGAATCGATTTATTTCGAATGTCGTTGATCGATAAACAGCATTGCTAAGATAGGGAGTTATCGATAGGTATCATTCGATCAGGTGCTGTGCGATATATCGATTCATCAGAGGTTTAAACCAATGGGAAAGGATCGACAAACAGGGTGTTCGCAGCGAACCCTTGATAATCGATTCTTTAGCATGGGTTAAAATGGCAAATACTCGATATATCGCAATTCACGCCACGCCGCTGCATTCGATAACGATTCGACAATCGATCCGCTGGGTGCACTCGGCCGAGAAGAATATTCGAATCGGTCGATGTTTGAACCCAACACGCTCATTATCTCATGAGCCCTAGAATGTATCGACGGCAAATACCAAACCACGTACCTATCTCGTTTGCCGTGTTTTAAAATTTTCGCTCTCGTTTGGTTTTTCTAAAGAAGAAAAAATCAACATTATTCCTTGAAGTTCTCACAGAATTTTCTTCGCACACACAAGAAAAATTAAGGAGGTTTTAAAGAATTGACGTTGAGTTGTTCTCCATTTAAACAATACGGTATGACAGGAAGTCTGCAAAGTTGCAAACCAAAATACGTGGTTTGGTACCATCGATGTACACTCTCGTGCTGCCGTGTTTAGAGTCCCTTTATACCCAGAGTTATGACGTATCATTTTTGGTTGGGCTGAAAGTGGCCTTAAAAAAATCCAATTCTGATTGGTTCCCGCTCATGGAATCACAAATGAGTGCACCAAGATGGCGGTACCTCGAATGTGAACAAAAGTAATGAAAATTCTAGTTTTATCATAGGAAATTTGGCAACGTTTGAAGCTGCATATAGCGTTACTCTGTAGAACGGCAATTTGAAGCTCGTGGTGTATCATGAAATTGAAATGTCAGGCTTTAACACCGATCAGTTCATTACACTATTTGGACTGTATTTTAAGAAGCTAAAATCATAGGGCATCCATAAAAGCACCTATCAGTGTAAGGAAACCAATGGCACATATATTTTTTTAAAATTGAGTACAAAATTGTAGATCATTGATTCAAAATGCAGTTTGATTAAAATCACACCACACAACCTTCACGTCATTGAAAATATGTATCATATGATTATTCTCGCGTATTTACTAAAATGATCGCGTCTAGAAAGAACTCGAAGAATTGTTACAGCTTGATCCGTATTGAAAAAGTAAAGTGTGCTCTTGCATTTTCTGAAGAGCTTAACGGCTTTCATTTTCCAGAGTCCTTAACACCGAGGGAATGTTTACAGATGCGTGCACCTCCTATGCATGCTCAGACAGAAACGAGCTCTTAACATTTGAACGCGTCCTCTTAACATTTTTCGATTCCCGTCGCAGAGGCTGAACGCATCTGCGGTTTCAGGCTGTGGGAAATTTCCTCCTCCCTTTTCTACCCTGCCTGAATACTGCCGTGCTAAGGAAAAACATCATACGAGCCTTTAGACGTTGCCAGATCTCCTTTAATAAAAACCGAATTTACTGGAAAAATTGTTAATAATTTTTGTCAAATTTTTGAGATAATTTTGTTCACAATTTGATCTAAAACATCTGATAATTTCACGGCAAAATATGCATAACTTTCTTCAAATACGTATGCTTTATTCGGGGAAATTTGGCAACTCTCGAATGTTCATACGGCGTTTTCCCTTAGCACGGCTGAATAGACATCATCGCCAGCGAAGCGTGGGAGTACGACACGTGCTAAATCGCTAACAGACCCGTTGTCGAACTTAAATGAAATATTCCACGCGATCTATGGATTTAATAAATATCACAAGCCGCATAGAACGGATTTTGATTACGTGTTCTACCACGAAGAAAAAAAACCTTTGGTTAAGAGAGCAAACCTTTGTGTCGAATTCTGCCGTGCTTAGGAGGAGAACAGCATGTCGATGACCAAAATTAGAAACCACGTATCTTTATTTGCGATGGCGCAGACTTCCAGTCAAACGTACCTTATTTTTTCCTTGGGAAACTAGTCAATGTAATTTCTTGAAAACGTCCGTGACTGTTCTCGTCAGTTATAGACGAAGAATAAACTGTATCAATTTTGAGCTATAAAGTTGGTTATTTCTTCTTCGAAAATATAAAGTAGGAGCGAAGATTTTGAAACACCGCAATAGAGATATTTGGTGTCGCATTACTTACTCATCGATGTACCGAAGAATTTTTTCAATTCTCTGGGTAAAGAAAGGAGAAATTGAGAGTTGCTTCGTATTCCTTTCAATAGAATATCGATCGCAAAAGTGCGAAACCACGTACCTCCATTGCAGTGTTTCAAAATTTCCGGTTCTATTTAATTTTTTCGAAGAGAAGCAATAAGCAAAATTTATATTTTGAAAATTATACGGAATATTCTGCTGACCGACGAAAGAAATCACGAAAGTTTTCAAGAGGTTACATTGACAACTTTTCCAAGTAAAAAATAAAGAACGACAGGAAGCCTGCAACGTCGCAAACGGAGGTACGCGGTTTCGCACTTTGACCATCGATATTTCTCATCTTATCTCGAAAAAATCATAAGACAGATTTAAAGAGTTCATATTGACTCATTCACGTAAAATATGTAGTAAAAAACTTGCAACGTCGCATATTGATGCACATGTGTGTACTGGATTGTAATTACTTCAGCGGTAATCATCATATCCTGCTATCAAATCGAATCGACATTGCTGAAGGCGCTCCGCGCAACTATTTCACCACAGATGTAAGGCAGAGTATCAAGCGTAATTGAAGGCGCTTTGACTGGTATCGTTTACCACTGTGTAGAGTCCTATTGATTATACGCTATACGGCTCCTGTTCGATTGGCTTTTGTGCAAATTGGTTACGGAGGGTGTCTCTGGACGGGAAACTTGAATTTCAACTCAAATTTTCAAGATTCGAAAATCAAAGATGGAGTGTGTTGCTTAAAATTCTATACAGTCTCCTATTCGATCGATTTTTATGGAACTTATATCGCATCATTTGAAACTTATACTGGATGAGTTGCCACGTATAATATCGGCGCCTCTCTGGCGTAAGGGCGTGTCTCGATTCCCACATGAGCTCCAGAGAACATGTATTGGTATGTAAAGTAGGGTTGACGTGAAAATTAAGATACACCCTTACGTCAGAGGGACGACGATATGAAGTGGGTGTATACATTTTTCAGCTCTCGAAGATCATAAAAAACGTCGATATCAATTTTAAACACTACCCTAGTAGAATTAGGATGGTTTGTTTGAATTTCAGAAATTTTCAGAAGTTAGTACGATGTTTTTTTACCCGAGAGTGATACAAAATCACAAAGCTGACGATTATGATTGTTGTGATATATTGCGTGTTTTATGGAGGGGTAGTTTCCGTTTACAAAATGCCCCATGTAAATTACTGGCTGCATGTTTGTCTAATATTTTTTTGCAGAAACTGGCAAGAGTGGAGGGCTTCGCTCCGCATGGCGTGTAAATGTTTTGATTGATTTTCAGTGACGAGCCGTCACGTCAGTGTTCGCACATATCGACGGTGAAACTACCAAACGACGTATCTCGGTTTGCGACGTCGCAGACTTCCTGTCATACTTTATTTTTTAAATGAAAAACTACTTAACATCCAGTCTTGAAAATTTCTATGATTTTTCCTCTTCGTGCGGAGAAAATTCCGTGAAAATTTCAAAGAATGATATTGATTTGGTCTACTTCAAAAAAATAAAATGCGAGCGTAGATTTTTAAACTTCGCAAACGAGATACGTGGTTTGGTAGTTTCACCGTCGATATTCTACGAGGGATCATCACTCATCGCTGGGAAAAAATTCTCGGAGCTTTTCTCATGTTTTTCTCCAGTGCAAACCGACAAGCCCGATTTTTTTAGATTAATTTTCTTCTCCATACCCAACTGATTTTCATAGCCGTCTTGCTTTCCAGTATTAAATCAGAAATAAAATCTATATTTTCGTCCCACATATATATTTTTACAAATTTCAAACAGACAATGATAACGCAAAGTTTCAAAATTTTCTCTTAAGCTACTAATACGTTTAAATTTCGTTAGGGCGACATTGTTTAAAAGCAATGAAAAGTTAAACATGGGTGACAACTCCTGTTCCCTCGGATTAATGTCAATCATATCGTTGTAGAATTGATTTTCTGCAGAATCAATGTCGTGTGTCATGTTCAGTGGCGAGGCGTGAATGCTCGATTATCGATATTTCTCCTTTTGAGGCTATAGTAAAGGCTCGATTATTAAGGTGTTCGTTGCGAGCACCCTGTCTATCGATCCTTTTCCATAGGTTCAAATGGCAAATCAATCGATATATCGCAAAGCCCGCCACACCACTGGTCATGTTCCACTTAAGCCTGTTAATATTAATAACCGATTGAAGTCGTGAGATAGGCCAGGGTCCACTTTTGATCATTGTCGTCGCGTCTACTAGTCCATTATCAGTAATTACTCTTGAAGTGAACTAATCCCCACGTCATTTTGTCCTTGTCAAAAGGCCAGTTTATCCACATGCTGTAAATTTCGATAAAAAATATAATTACTTATTGCTCAAACGCTTGACTTTATTTAAATTAAATTCTGTTGGCAGGTTTTTTCTCAAGGCTGGGTCATCAGTAATCAGCTCCATCAGAACCCGGAACATTGGATAAAACACTCAGAGCAGAACACATCATCCAGCGTTGTCCTGGAATTCATCAGTAAAGAATCGGGCTCGTACCACGTATCATGGCTCGAAATTGCCCGAAGGTAAACAATTTAATGCTAATTTGGACGTATTTCTTCCAAATGGAAGCATGTGCATTATGACGTCAGCCCTGTTATGCATATATTCTTATGGGCTTCAGGGTTTATGTCTTAATGCACATAGTTCCGTTGGGCAGAAATACGTTCATTAATATTCTGAAGTCAAATAGAAAGTCGACTTATATTTCACAAGGATATTGCGTAGAGGTCTTATTTTTAAGCTCTCAAAAAATTCTAAATGGACCCAGACATCAGTTCATAACATGTAACCGTGAATAAGTAAACGAGTAGTAGAAGTAAATCAAGAAATAAGGGAGATCGCATTTCAGCGTCTCAAAATTATCGTCATCTATTTTTTTAATTTTTAAAAGGAGACCCACCCAACACCATTTTAAACTTGTTTCATGTTGCCTCTCATGTCTTTTTCTTGAAAAATTTAAAAAAATAATATTGAACGAATCGCCTTTTTTAAGAAAACGGGAAAGGAAGGGGAAAACAATGAAGGAGAGAAAACATAGGAAAGAAATAAATGGTTCGCTACGGCATATTTTGACAATTTCGAAGTAATAAACGAAGGAATTCGATGTAACGAATGGTTCGTCGTTGAGTTGAACTCCAAAACAACAACCTAGCCAATATCCGAGTTTCAACCAAATAAAGCATCGAGACGCCAAGAATAAGAACGCCGAACGATATCGATATCGACAAATTTGAATATACCCAATATCTTTCCGCTCCCATGGAATTGCCTCCGAAGATACGGTAACGTTTCTATAAACCCGTAAAATTTCACAATATATTTTATTATCATAGCATACGAGCACCCATCATATATTCCTGAGTTAAGAGGGAGGGATAGGCGGCGATAAGGGTACTCAGCTCCCCTCCTCCACACCCCTCCCATCCGAGCGCCTTGCTCCATACGCAACACGCACGACCCCATCCTGGAAGAACAAGGTATCTCGATTACTCTTGAAACAGTTGCAGATCCAATTTTGAATCGGCGAACAAAAGGGGTTAAGAGACTGGTTGTTGCACCGTGCCTTGCCCCCTCCCTTATCCTGCCCCCATCTTGGGCCGAAGGCTTCGGCGTTTTTATGATATTTTCCGATACACTCAAGGCTCAGTCTTTGCACTCCGTCTCGTCCTTTATGCGCACGACGAGACTATCTCGACTACTCGAATCTCTTACGCTTCCTCAACCATCCCTCCCGCTTTTCTCATTTGTTGCAATATCGATTTTATGGGCTATGAAAGCTCCATTTTCCCTCTTTTCTTCCATTTTTTTTATAAATAATACCCTCTGCTCCATAGACTTTTAACCCCATCTCTCTCCTATTATAGAGTTCTCAACTTTAACCCCTCGTGGGGATTTTAAACTGGATTGTTTTTTTTTTTTCACTTTAAATCTTCATAAATGTGACGTCTAAGATGTCGCGTTTTCTTTGCAACGAGTGAGACAAAAAAGGTCCAAAAAAAATTGAGAGGCTTTGAGGAGAGAGCGCATAAGTACGGGTTTTGCTATTTCGAGAAATACTTGTTTGAAAATTCAAAATTATATGGATCTTTATGCCGCAAAGAAAGTGTAAACTAACTTTTTGATGCTTATAAATTGGAATTTGGAAGCGGATTTCTCGAGAATACGCATTAACACTAGTTTCACTCGAAACCATTGATATCTAATTTTTTTCCAAAACTGCAACTACGCGCCTTGTCTTCTAAGCCCCTCAATTGTGAGAATGTAACTTTTTACGTGAATAATTTTCAACCGTGACTCATTGCTTACCGAATTAAATTAGAACACGTTCCGCTTCATTTAAAATGACAGAATGCAAAATCTAAGACCGAGTTTTTAACATTGAAGCTAAAGAACAGCGACAAAATTTGTGTGGGTTTTTTGGCGCATTCCGGTAGAACAATACATTTGACGGCCGGAAGTGTAATTTACTAAGTTGGGAACTAATTATCTCACAACTTCAAATATTACACTACTGTTACTTTGTGAAATATTTAGTTAAATAAATGTTTTGAGAATTGATTATCTAAAAAAGGATTGCTCTGTATTGTAGAAGAGTACTATTTCACCAAAGTATAAAATTTACATACTTTTAACTTCCGTTCCAAATGCAAATTATCAGAATGTGAAAAGTTTTGACTGGATAGGACGAGGAAGTTCATTTGAGAGTTTGAAATGAAGCTGGTAAAGACAGTAATTATCTGAGTAGGTTTGTATCTGCTAGACTGGATCAAAAAGCTGAAAACCGCAGAGAGACAACATTTCGGACTGACTATGATCATGGGTCTTAATTATTGAGGAACAAGAAGCGTAAGGCCCAGTGCACGGCAATCTGTCAGAATGTTTGATCAAAGAGAACCGAAATTTCACTTATTACGGTACCTGGTAAACCTCTAATGTAATGAAAACCGAGCTATTTTACATCAGTGAATTTCTCCTCTCGTGATCAGTGGCGATTTTGCAAGCCCGCAAAATTGTTTTTCCCCCATTTAAATCCATTAAAAATCTCGATTTAGGTGAGGCAAGTTGCCTCTTTAAGAATCGATTGTTTTACATACATTGAAATAGGAAAAATTCGCTCTTTTGAGGAAAGAGCTATTGCAAGCTTGAGAGGAAAGTCTTGCACCAAAACTGAAAGCCTTCACTTTAGATCAAGATTTTGTTTGAGGAAATCTACAAATATTACGCAAGCTAGTTTGGCCGACTTTTTAACCTCTGCTATCCCTTGTAACTTCTACATTTGTAAAGCAACGTCTAACTCGCTTTTTGAATGAAGTAAGTCATGCTTGAACCTCTCCCACCTCCTTCAACCAAATTTGTTCCAAAAAATAACGAAGAACACTTGAAAAATTGCTAAAAAAAATTTATACTTATTAGAATATATTATTGATTTTTTTTTTAAAGTAGTAGGCTTTGATAACCCAGTATCTAACCACCTCTCTCCTTCTAAGGCCCTATAAGCCCGACTCGAACACCCTCTCCCCCTTGAGTGGCTAGGGAAATAAGTAGACGGCCGATTGGCTTTCTCTACGACAACAGTGTGATACAACTATCCGTGCTCAGGAGATGTCCGTGTTGCATGCACGCAAAATTGCAGGCGCTCCTGAATTCTTAATCGCAACGTCTGCAGTAACTTTTTTTTTCATCGAGGAATGTCTGAGATGCATATGAGGGTCTTTCAAAAAAAAACTTGTCTTTGAAAACGTCTGCTCCACTCAAAATTCCTGGTGCTAACGGCCCTCAGTAACATGAATTTGGGACCCCCCCCCTCTTCCTTCCAATTTTCAAAACATAAAGAAAACGCTGAGAAAACAGCTTGACGCATTCGGGTTTTTTTTTTACATATTTCGCTGAAATACGACGGGAAGAGATCAACAAAGGTTTAAAAAGATTCGTTCGGCAATGGCGGGATTTTCAATTTTTTGAATGTTTTTTTCAAAGCCCCTCCCCACCCCCTCCGACTCGGATTTGTTACGTAACGCTGGGCTTGACCCCCTTTCTCCCCTTGTGCCGCACTGTAACGCTAGCTCAAGCCCCCTGCCCCTAAACGCGTTACGTAATACTTGAACGGCCTCTCAGCAGAAATACGTCCATTTTATCATCTTGTCACATACAGTTCGGGCCACATTTCTAGCGTTTTGTCCTGAAGGTTTCGTTACACGATCAAACACCCGAACCAATTACTATCAAAGTGTCGGGAGTCATCGGTCGTAAAATCATTACTTTGCTTAATTTAAAATGAAAACTTGGCTGAAATGTTTGGAGCGGCGAGAAATTATGAATGGTCGCACTCCATTCTGATCAAAATTGGACGGGCCGTCAAATTTTCATCAAAGAGGACTGTTGCATGGTGACCATTAGTCATCAACTAGTCTACTTTGATCACAATTGGTTCTGAATTCAATCGTGTATGCAGACTAGAGACATGAGACCTTCCACTAGTATCTTGGCCGTGGTGGAAGCTTTTACCTTCGGGACTTCAGCATTCTACTTTTGGCTTACCTACACGGTTGATGTTCAACAACGTGTTGGCAGTTTCGTTTTGCAAACAAGCCGAAATTGGCCAAAGTTTGGGAGATTTGTTTGGCTCATGACGTCACCCGAAGCTTATCATCCACCATGTGGGTAGGTCAACAGGTGATAACTGTTGCTCCCTCATAATTTTCCACAAGGAATCGTTGAATCCCCGAGAGTAAAAGCTTCCACCTGTCGCCAAGAGGTCAGTGGAGGGTCTCTTGTCTCTGATCAGAGACAAGAGTCCATCCACTGATCTCTTAGCTACAGGTGGAACTTTTCACTTTCGGGGATTCAACAATTCCTAATGGACAATTATAAGGGAGCAACAGTCGTCACTCTTATTTTGGCCGCTGACCTACCTACATGGTGGATGGTGAGCCTCGGGTGACGTCATGAGCCGAATAAGTTTCCCAAACTTCGTCCATTTTCGGCTTGTTTGCAAAACGAAACTGCCAACACATTGTTAAACATCAATCATGTAGGTGAGTCAACGGTAGAATGCTGAAGTCCCGAAAGTAAAGCCCTGCATAGACGATCAAATTCCGAACCAATTTCGATCAAAGTAGACATGCTGATGACTGGTGGCCACCATCTACCATCAAATTTTGACGGGCCGCACTTTTTTGTTCGAAGTAAGATCAGATCGGAGTGCCACCATTCATCATTTCCTGCCACAGGAAACATTTCTGTCAAGTTTTCATTTTAAAATGAAGCAAATTAATGAGGTTCAGACTGATGACTCCCGACACTTTGATGCTACTTCGATCGGAATTCGTTCGGGAATTTGATCGTCTATGCAGGCCTTGAAAGCTTCCACCATGGCCAAGATACTAGTGGAGGGTCTCTTGTCTCTGCCTCTGATCCAGACCTTTTACTTACACTGAGAAAAAAACTCCGGCCGTGGGAGCCGCAATTACGGGCTATATAGACATACCGTCCGTTCCGGGCTCAAAGGCCGGAAATTCCGGCTGCTGGATCCGTAGCTTCGGCCTTTGAACCCGGAGCAATCGAAGCTACGGCTCCAGCAGCCGGAATTTCCGGCCTTTGAGCCCGGAACGGACGGTGTGTCTATATAGCCCGTAATTGCGGCTCCCACGGCCGGAGTTTTGTTTTCAGTGTATGAAACCCCGACGACTTTTCCGTGTCGACAGGAAGCCGTCAAGCCCACTGGCGGAGAAGGACCAGCTAATCAGCGAGTGCCTGCACCGGTGCCCGGAGATCGACGCGTGCATCAACTCCTCGCTGTGGTGCGACGGTGTGGACCACTGCCCGTCCGGCTACGACGAGTCGCTCACCCACTGCTTCTACCTCTTCAAGCTGCCGGCCCTCTACCTCCTCATCATCGGCGTCGGAGTTCTCCTCTGCTGCTGCTTCGTCTGCATCCTCCACGCCTTCGTCGCCAAGAACTCGGAGAGCAAGCTCAAGTCCCTGCCCTCCGACACGGAGGCCATCATGAACCATAAGGAGCTCATCAGCTGACATACGGACTCGCTCGTGAGATACGTCGAGGTCGACCGCGTCACCACTGTGTGAGGTGTTCACGAGCGATTTTTCACCTTTTTTCTTAGTTTCTTTTTTTTTACACAACTAGGAGTGCTGAAGGATTTAAGTACACTGAAAAAAAATATCGGTGTATTCACTATGAAAAGGGTAAAATTACCAAGAATTCAGGGTTCTATTTGATCCCAATTTTTTCTTGGTAAAATTACCATTTATGGAATTGGTAATTTTACCGAGAAATTTCGGTAAAATTATTGAACTTTCTTGGTAATTATACTGGACCTTGGTAAAAACGCCAATATTTTTTATCGACTGTGGTAGAATTACCGAGATAGAATGGCAAAGTTACCAGGAATTGATTACCAATAAAAGTGGTATTCTTACCTGAAAAAACAGTAAAAGTACCGGTTTTTAGGTAAGCTTACCAGTCTGTCTTGGTAAAAAAAAGTGAAATGGTAAAGGTACCAACGGACCTTGGTAAAAATGCCGAGAATTTTTTTTCAGTGTAGACTATTTATATAGGGAGAGTTCGGAAACAGTGACATGGCGTGAATTGCGATGTATCGTTTGTTATGCCATTTAAAGCTATGATAAAGAATCGATTATTAAGGTGTTCGCTGCAAACACCCTGTTTATGGATCCTGTTCCATAGGTTTAAATGGCATAACAATCGATAAATCGCAAAGCACGCCACTTTAGTGTACGGAAATGCTGGAATATGGAGCTCTAGGGGCCCAGAAGGGCAGCCAACCCTCTAACACATAAAACGTCACAGCCAATCTTCAGACTCTAATATCAAACCAAGATGGCCAACTCAAGTAAAAGTGGTGCATTGAGACATCACTCTGAAGTCATAATCTACTATGTGTTTCATAAAGCAGTGTGACATCACTGTATAATATTCGCCGAACACGTTGCCATCACAGTGGTATCATATTGACGTTTGGAGTGATGATGTCAGAGTGACATTTTAATGATTTTTTCCATAAAGCATTAAGTTGTCACAATAGCGAGGTGATCACGTTCCACTTTTATCAGAAAAGAATATATGAGCGTCCTTCCGCAAAAATGAGTTAATTTATGAAAAAATAAGTCAAATACGTGATTTACAAACGACGGATCGTAGCTCGGCTTGTAATCTAATAATATAAATCATTCTGGATAATTTGATTTTTCAAGTTGGCTGCCTTTTTGGGCCCTAAAAACCGTATGACTTCACCTTAAAATTACCGATATGTCTGTATTCTCCCCATATAGGTTCTCTAGATTTGTTCTCTGCCATGAGGAAATACCACTTCCTCTGATTAAGGCCTCAGGTCTGCGTCAGCCTGTAAATCCAACTGTGTTCTCGGAAATCTCTCCGAGATGTAAGATTTAGAGAGTCCAGTTATTTCATTTTGGAGCAGAAAGTGAGAGTAACGTATTTTTTAGAAGCACATGATGCCATTTCTTTCTTTCATCTTCATCTCTGAGAATAAATATCATATAGTCGTTTTTTTTTTTTTGAGTTAAATGCATATGTTGATCCATTTTATAGATTTTATACTGTGGTTAGACATTTCTATTGTTTATATTTTTTCATTATTTTATGACGGTCGTGGATGCATCGTCGATCATAGTTGCGACCATGTTTGTGTATCGATTGTCGTAACATGGCAATCCCTCGAAACTTACAGTTTGTGATTTGCACATTTAATGTTGAGGTACGTTTGTACCAACTTTATCTTACTTGGACTAGCAATGCTGAGCTGTTTTTCAAGTGAAAAGTTTGGACTTGAAATTTTTGGGAGCACCATTGGCAAATTATGTAAATACTGACCTAACTCTCTTTCTATTGCAAAAGTTTTCCCTCTGATCGGAAAGAATCGTTTTGTGCTCATAATTATATGTTTGCAATCAAACTTTATGTACTGCGACAATTCCTCTACAAAATCGACAAAATGAGGGATCGCTGTTTGAAAATATATACCATACTTTAACTAATTCTATACTCCTGAGAGTGAGCAATATAAATCCCAGGTTGAACTATTATGAAAATATTTTAACTATTTTTAGGAGACTATAACCTTACGCCTCGCAGTGGATCGAGTCAATTAGAGAGGTCGGACATTAAATTTTTAACTTTAATAGCTATTGATGTTTAATTTGTCACATTTTAATGGGTAGCTCTTGAAGAAAATTTCACGAGAAAACCAATGAAACCAATTTTGGAACCTATAAGTTTGTATAAACGGAGTTGTAAAATTGTCCAAATTATGCCCGACTTCTCCTATTGACTCGATCCACTGTGCGCCTGCGATAAGCTTCCTCTTATCTCAAGTTACAATCGTTCAAGGTATATTCCTAATTTTTTTCTTTTAGACTTTAGTACAGCATATGTAAAATTTAACGTTAAGTCTTTGCTCAGTTCACTCAAATTCTATATTTGTTACGAACGAATGTCAATCATAATTCTCATTAGCAATTCTTATGTACTTGGAACTTACGTAGCTAGTCCGCTGCCATGTTAGATACTTATCTGATATTATACTAGTAATTATCAATTTGGGAACAATTAATGCGGCTGTAGAACCGAACGAGTGAAAATTGAAACTCCTTAAAATAGGGGTAACTAAATAGACAAATAGAACTAATGGGAGTTGATCTGTGAGATTTTGGGATTATGCAGGCTATTTGTGGATTGATCATGTTTGCTGAAAGCCAATTTTGCATTTTCGTAGGTATAACGATCAGCCATTGAATAAGTAGGTTGTGCGATTTCTTTGCAGAATACTTATTCCATTCGAAGAGCTGATAAATATTTTAGCTAACATTTGCCATTGCTAGCAGGAGCTGCCGATAATGTTGTATCTGTCATTTAGATAATTCACTTCCTCCATGTCATTCTACTTAGAAGTAAGTGGTTCAGCGATAAGTTTCTATTCTTTTTATCATTTTTGGTATTGATGATTTATATAAAAATATCGCGGTATTGATGCGAAAGCTAGTTTGCTATTTTAGATCGACTTCATGGACATAAGGTGCCCTGGTAAAAATTGGCAGTAGAATCTGTGTTCCAAAATACCATAGACCTACAGCCGGCTGTAAGATTTCCAAAAGCTTCTATAGGCGGCAACACATTTTCTTGTAGCCTTTTATAGCCGATGGCGATTAAGCAACAGCCTGGCGATAAAGTGTATGCTAAACGTAACTAATTACGGATGCTAGGACTTAGTGAGTTTTTTGAACTACCGCTCTCTTTTTGGGCCGTAGTATCTTGATTTACTTTTCAAGGAAAGCTCCGTACTTTTGAAGGATGCCTGCCATTCCTAATATGTAGGAGCGCCTTCAATTTTGTATGATACTGTGCAATACCTCTGGTGTGAAATAGTTGCTTCAAGCTCCGTGGTACGCTGCGTTACTTAGAGATACTTCACGCATTGCGCAATGCGTGAAGTATCCCTGTTAGGTTTGTAGGCGCCAGTGCGCCGCCGCTCCGCTTTGTGTTAGGCTCTAATATTTAATCTCGTGGAGTCAGCGTTTTTCAACTCATGATTTTTGAAATGTTTGCCCACTCTGTACGGATTATTCTCATTTTAATTGATGAAAAAAAATATGTAGTAAAGAAAAATATAATGTGCGTTTCGTAAATATTAAAGTGATTCCGTACAAACTTAAGGATTTACAAAGCACACGAATTTCTACACAATTTCTTATAGCCTTTTATAGCCGATGGCGAAAAAGCAACAGCCAGGCGATAAAGTGTAAAACCCGGCTATAGGAACTATAGCCCGGCTGTATAATTTTTTATCGCTTCGTGTAGCCCGGCCGTATGATTTTTCCACTTTCTACAGCCAGCTATATGATTTTCTAACGCCTTCTTCAGTCGGCTATGAGAATTCCTATGGTATTTTGAAACGCAGCTCCTCTCGCCAATTTTTACCACGGTGAACATTGGAAGCATCACGGGGTATCTATTTAATTTGTTTACTTAGTAGATGCGCACGTCTAACGTTGCCTTGAGGTAATCAGAGGAAGAACAGGACAAAGAGCGTAAAATGCCAGGCTCATGAAAATAGAACGTCCGAAGTTGAAAGTAAAATACTTACCAGTGACCACATATGTTTGAGAGCATAGTAAGGACAAGACTCGGTGTATTTGTGATGACAAAAATTGCTGTGAGGATCCTGTTAAAAATGACAAGTAGGCTATTCAGAATTCGCCAACTCACATGAGTAGAACTTCCTACGCATGTGAGAAGAAATTCTACTCATATCACTATAATATTCTACTCATAAGACTAGAAAAGTTCAACTCCTATGAATTCAATTTTTTTCATTTTTCATAAGTGCTGTTTCTGACCATGAGACACCGACATTATATGTTAATTTGAAAAATAAAAACATTTTGTTCTTGTGATTTTTTTTGATGTGGTGACTAGTTTCTGAGATATCAGACACGGTAGATTCAACGCTGAACTCATGTGAGTTGAAATCTCTAGTCATATGAGTTGGGATCTCTTGTCACAGAAATTGGCAAAAACTAGATAAAGAAATTCTGCTCATATGAGTTAAATTCTATTCATATAAGTTGAAATTCTATTCATACGAGTTGAAATTCTATTCATACGAGTTGAAATTCTTCATATAAATTGAAATTCTATTCATATGACTTTGACTTTCTACTCATTTGTACTCACTATTTTTAGCAGGGGATTACTTTGGTGATTGCATTCAGAGTGATGACATAAATTCTTGAAACAATCGATTAAAAAGAAACTTACGCACGAAGTTATCCTAATAATTCATTAATTGACCCAAAATGCAAATGAATCACTGAGAACTAAAACACACCAACTGGAAAAAATAAAAATAATCAAGACACGAGCAAAACTACACAGTAGTTGAAGAAGTTAGTGCAAGAAAAATATTTTTGGTGCCGAAAGACAAGTACTTAAGGACACTTTAAAGGTCCATGTTAAAACAGATGCTTTAACTTCACTTACCTTTTTGAAAACTGACTCTCTTCAATGAAAATTGAGCATTTTTGGGTTACCGACTTGGTGTGTTTTCGTTCTCACTGATTCAAATGTAATATCGATATGATTAGGGGCTCATTATCATCACTTTGAAATCTGACCACTGCCTATACCGCCTAATGTATC